TCACAGCTGTTAGAACAGCTATTATCAAAAAGGCCAAAGATAGCAAGTGTTGACCAGGGTATAGAGAAAAGCAAACCCTTGTACACTGTTGGTAGGAACATAAATTGGTACAGCCATAGGGAAAACAGTATGGGGCTTTCTCAAAAGTTAAAAATAGGTCCAGCAATCCCGCTTCTGGTATATATCCAAAGGAACTGAAATCAGTGTGCTCAAGAGATACCTGCACTGCCATGTTCATTGCAGCAATATTTACAATGGCCAAGATATGAAAACATCCTAACTATCCGTGGACAGATAAATAGATAAAGAAAATGTGGAATACATATATAGTGGAATATATTTTTTAGTGATAAAAAGGAAGGAAATCCTTCCATTTGTGACAACACGAATGGAACTGGAAGTCATTATGCTAAGTGAAATAAGCTAGGCGCAGAAAAACAAATACTGTATGAGCTCAGTGAACCCCAAAAAAGTTGAACTAATAAACGCAGAGAGTAGAATGATGATTATCAGAGACTAGGGAGCAGGGGACAGGAGGGAAGTTAGGCCAAAGGGTACAAAACCTCAGTTACAAGATAAACAGGAGCTTTTGAGCAGCCAGATCCAGGGACAGAGTCTCAGCTTCCCGCTGCGCTGCTGCTGCCTAGAGACAGCTGAACCCCTGTCCGCCCTACTTCCACCTACTCCGGACACAGAGCATCCAGTCATGGAAGACAGTTGAGGCAGAGCCAGTGCCTTGGGCAGCCCTCAGAAAAATCAGAACATATGGTTCTCTCTTTTTCTTTCCCTTCTCAGGGAGCTGGGTTTTTTTTTGGAAAGGGGGTAGTTGTGGTTCAGTGTTTGTTTTGCTTATTTGCTTTGCCCTGAGATGGAAGGGGGGAATGTGGCATGTACTAGCTTGCTATTCAAACTGCAGCCTTTGTTCTTAATGATGCCCATGTGTCTAGGGTATGCCAGTGAAAGGACACAAAGATAGATGTGTACCCGCCCCCCACCCGCTACACCCTTGTTCTGCTCTCTAATCTTTGCACATACCAGAGATTTCGTAAGTTCTGTGAGTACCTGGTTTTCTGCACGTACCAGAGATTTTGTTTTGCACATACCAGAGATTTTGTAAGTTCTGAGGCAAGGTCACAAGACGTGTTTAAGTAAGATAAACTCTTGCTGCCATAAACCTGCTCTCCCACCTCAAAGTTTGAACCAAAATATCAGAAATGGCGGGAACCAATCATAGTTAGCCAAATCGCCTTGTTCAAACACTAGCCAATCATATATCTGATTTGTATAATAACTCTATGCCCACTTTTCTTAGACTATATAACACTGCTCGGAGCTCAGTGGGGGAGCTCTCCTGCCCGTCTCGTTTCATGAGCGAGGGAGAGTTCCAGGTTCGAACCTGTAATAAAGATCCTTGCTGCTTAGCTTTGACTCTGGACTCTGGTGGTCTTCTTCGGGGAATAAACGGTCTGAGATAGGCAAGACAGAAGCAAATGCCACAGCAGTCCCCAGAAAAATTAGAATGCTGGACTTATGGCCCAGTGTTTTCATTCCTTCACCAAGGAGAAGCTTGAGGAATCTCCACACTGTTTTCCACAATGGTTGAACTAATTTACACTCCCACCAACAGTCTAAAAGTGTTCCTATTTCTCTGCATCCTTGCCAGCATCTGTTCAGTTTCCAGACTTTTTAATCATCACCATTCTAACGCGTGCAAGATGGTATCTCATTGTGGTTTTGATTTGCATTTCTCTAATGACCAGTGATGATGAGCTTTTTTACATATGTTTGTTGGTCACATAAATGTCTTATTTTGAGAAGTGTCCGTTCATATCCTTTGCCCACTTTTTGATGGGGTTGTTTATTTTTTTCTTGTAAATTTGTTTAAGTTCCTTGTAGATTCTGGATAGTAGACCTTTGTCAGATGGATAGATTGCAAAAATTTTCTCCCATTCTGTAGGTTGCCAGTTCACTCAGATGATAGTTTCTTTTGCTGAACAGAAGCTCTTTAGTTTAATTAGATCCCATTTGTCAATTTTGCCTTTTGTTGCATTTGCTTTTGGTGTTTAGTCATGAAGTCTTTGCCCATGCCTATGTCCTGAATGGTATTGCCTAGGTTTTCTTATAGAGTTTTTATGGTTTTAGGTTTTACTTTTAAGGCTTTAATCTGAGATAGTATAAATTTCAACTTGTAACACGCAAATTCATACATATTTATTTTATTTCAATGCTCAATGTAGAGCATTCAGTTTGAGAAAACAATTGCTTATGTGGGATACGAAAGCAAATTTTTTGTAAGTTTCAAGAAATAAATCTAGTATGTAACTGAAAGAGGAAACCTTGCTTGTCAAAGAGGAAGCCAGAGATGTGGGGTGGGTGAAACATGTGTGCAAAGACCGTGCTAGAGGAGGAAAGATACATGGTGGGGAAGGGGTGTTAACTCTGTTATCTCTTCCTTTCAGGTAGCAGCATGGTTAAAACTCATCTTGATAACTTTGCCTCAGCAAAAAAGCCAGTCATTTTGTCATATGTTTCAATGTTATTATTGTGAAAGATGACAAAACATGACTGTAGGGAACCAAAGTGTAGGCATAGAAGATAATAAATAACTTACGAAGGGGCAAGGAGGTGGTTGTGAAAATTGGGATAGGAAACAATTTGGAGTCCATAAGGTATGACAGGTTCTGATTTGCATTTTGCAAGGTTCTGTTGACAATTCTCACAAAATAGCATCGCGTGCAAACACCAAAGACCATCTTCAGTTTGTTTCCAGTCTAAATCTCAACTTCAATTCCTGATTATTTGCTGCACAAATAATGAACTACTATAAACTACTAGGAAACGCCACACAGAACCATGACTTCAGGACTTTGCCCAGCAGGTGTGGGGAAATTTCACTAAGAAAGAGGCAATAAGGCTGGGTGTGGTGGCTCACGCCTGTAATCCCAGCACTCTGGGAGGCTGAGGGGGGTGGATCACCTGAGGTCGGGAGTTCCATCCAGCCTTACCAACATGGAGAAACCCTGTCTCTACTAAAAACACAAAATTATCCGGGTGTGGTGGTGCATGCCTGTAATCCCAGCTACTCTGGAGGCTGAGTCAGGTGAATCGCTTGAATCCAGAAGGCAGAGGTTGCGGTGAGCCGAGATGGCATCATTGCACTCCAGCTTGCGCAATAAGAGCGAAACTTCATTTAAAAAAAAAAAAAGAAAGAAAGAAAGAAAAAGAAAAAGAAAGAACGATAAAATGAAAATTCGTGGCTGGGCACAGTGGCTCACTCCTGTAATCCCAGCGCTTTGGGAGGCCGAGGTGAATGAGTCACCTGAGGCCAGGAGTTCAAGACCAGCCTGGCCCACATGGTGAAACCCCGTCTCTACTAAAAATTCAAAAAATTTAGCTGCGTGTAGCTGCACACTCCTGTAGTCCCAGCTACTCGGGAGGCTGAAGCAGGAGAATTGCTTGAATCTGGGAGGCGGAGGCTGCAGTGAGCTGAGATCGTGCCATTGCACTCCAGCCTGGGTGACAGAGTGAGACTCTGTCTCAAAAAAAAGAAAAGCAAGCAAATAGAAAAATGTTGATGCTATCATTTCAATTTTAAGTCTGGACTCAAATGTTACCTTCTCTGGGAATTCCTTCCCTGAAACTCTACATATCCCCTATCAGGTAGAATTGTTATACCCTTCTATGTGTTCCAACATCCTCTAGCCTCCAACATATTGGGTAATAATATATCATTTATTTTTATTCTGTTCTGCTTGATTGTGGACTAGAAGGACCTGGGATTTTGGCATTCATCTGTGCATGCACAGTGATAAGGGCAGTGCCTGGCATGGAACATTAAGTTCTTTTTGGATGAACGTGTAAGTGAGTAATGTCTATTCCTTAATTCCAAAAGCACCTTGGTTATGTCCACCAATTCCTGAAGACACCATGGGAAGATGACACCTGAGTTAATAAACTTGGCTACAAAAGCTATACAAATATATCTTTTAGTATCCTCTGTTTATGTAAATATCTTAGCTTTCAACAAAAAAATTTTCTTTTTCACATTCCCCCCAAAAAAACCACACATGATTAGAGGTGTGATTTTTAGTATCTTAAATATTATTGAAGAGCCATTCAAGGTTATGTTTATAAATAAACTGAAATAAAATAGATTAAAACCTTCTCTGAATCTTATCTGTACTGATTTTGCTATGGTCTAGCTAGTTATGGTGTTACAATGATCACATGGTTTAGCCCTGATTCTAACTTAGGCATACCATTCAGTCCAATGCTGTTTAGATTTGCTCGTGGGATTTGTTATAAAGTTCATGCCTCTCAGTGTTTTCACTGTCCCATTCTTGCCACTGTAAAGATCTAAGCACCATCAGTCTAATAATTTAGCAGACAAGGGAGTCTTCTTAGCTTTTACGCACTATCAGGTATGGTTCACAGCAGTTACAATGCAGCCGGTTGTATTTCCAAGACCATCTACTGCAGAGAATCATTTAAACAGTTTCTAAAAGACAGAAAGAGAGAGAGAGATGATAGATATTAACATCATAGACAGATCTGGAGATTCAGAGACTAACACACACACACTCACATACAAAAACAGCACTTCAGTTTTGGGTCTATGTGTGAAACCAAGTATGCCTTAAACAAGGAAGACAAGCTTTTCAGAAGTGCAGTTGGATAACTTCTGCCATAGAAATGGCTGAATTAGGACACAAGGGGGGAAAATTCCAGAAGAAGGGCACATCTCTTTCTTTTCTACAGTTCGTTCTCACCTTCTCAACTCCTAGTAAAATGTCTCGTTTTCAGGTTCTGTAAATCCTGCTAGTCTCAGGCAAAATTATGCTCCAGGAGTCTCAAATTTTCTTATTTCATATGAGTCTTTATTTAGTAGACTTCTCAATTTTTCTATTCATTACCAGTAAAAGCCTGTTGATCTTAATCAGCCAGGAAACTTATCTGTCTGGCAAATGACATATGTATAAAGATAATCATCAATGTCATGAGTTAACCCATTTCAACTGCCTATTCAGAGCATGCAGCAAGAGGAAATCCACCAAGTCGCAATATAACAATATTCTTTACTCCTGGATAGCTCAGTTAATGAAAAAATGGACACGGAAAATAGTAGGAGAGCAAATCTTTCTCTCCCACAAGAGCCGTCCAGGTAGGTATAGGGTATTATTTTTTTCTACTCTCAGTCACTTAGCAGCAGGGGAAGTCATAGTCACAGTGCTTAGGAGATGAAACTTTATTGATTTAGGCATGGATTCATCTAGTTTAATTAATATATTGGGTATGAGGAAGCTACTTGCCGTACTTTCCAAGAGATTCTCTCTCCCTGAAGAGGAACATTTTTACTCAGCTTGTAAAGTGGAAGTAACAGATTTTCTCACATTAGAAGCTCATTTTCTGGGTATGAGACAGGAGAGTTCATACTAGGTATGTAGATCTCTTGCTTCTGTGTCTGATATGTGCTGCGGGACACATACCCTTCACACATGCTTTTGTAAATACTTTATAAAATAACCTGCTTCTTGGTTGGTCTTTATGATCCATAAGCTGTGGGATGCTTCTTTGAAGATGAAAATAGTAAGAGTCCCATCTAGCCATTCAAAGTCATCCCTTCATTGCATTCTGTGTACATGAAGTTGGGGTTTGTTACTGACATAATATATTCAGATACATTTCTATGTTAAAAGGATTGTGAGATGCATAGGTAACTGTGTTTATTTTCAGTTTTACTTATCAACATAGATGAATGAGAAAGAACTTGAAAGTAACACTGGATTAAGAATAGGAAAATTTGGCATGGATTTTGCTCCATTTTGTCCCATCTAATCACTTGGATAGCGTTCGGGTGTTCTTGGTCACTTACTTGGATGCTCTGAGCTTTAGTTTCTTAGTGATTACAATGAAGATTTGAGTTACAGGATGGCTTTGAAAAAATAAACAAAACTCCCCTTTCTGTCAGTCGAGGATGTTGCACAGGGAGTTAGAGAATGTTCTTATGATGGAATTGCTTTTAAATTTCACAGTGTGCCTGCATTTGAAGTCTTGGCAGTATCTCCCCAGGAAGAATCTTCAGGCGGACTACCGAAGTCGGCCTCATCCCCACCACAGCATACGTGGCTGACAGTTTTGAAAAAAGAGCAGGAGTTCCTGGGGGTGAGTGAGCCTCCTCCAACTTTGACTAGAGTTAGGGTTGGGTCTAGAAAAGAATACTGAGTTGCATCAACTGTTTTCCCACTTGGATTCATGAGAGGTGGCAGGTCCTCTAAAAAACATGGTAGATAAAGAGTTGATACTAACTGGGCCCTTTTGGGAACAGAGAAGCATTTCCTCAAAAAGACTTTATTTATTTTTTTTTTTTTTTTGAGACGGAGTCTCGCTCTGTCACCCAGGCTGGAGTGCAGTGGCCGGATCTCAGCTCACTGCAAGCTCTGCCTCCCGGGTTCACGCCATTCTCCTGCCTCAGCCTCCCGAGTAGCTGGGACTACAGGCGCCTGCCGCCTCGCCCGGCTAAGTTTTTTTTTTTTGTATTTTTAGTAGAGACGGGGTTTCACTGTGTTAGCCAGGATGGTCTCGATCTCCTGACCTTGTGATCCGCCCGTCTCGGCCTCCCAAAGTGCTGGGATTGCAGGCTTGAGCCACCGCGCCCGGCCTCAAAAAGACTTTAAATTGCTAGGATGAGAATGGCCAATAGGAGTGAAGGATTCATCATCTTTATCATTACTTAGATGTAAAGAACAATTACTGATGTTCAACATGACTACATACGTAAAGGCGCATGGAGAAAGTATTGGCCATCCATGCATTAGGTAGTGCTTGTATCAATTCCTATAGTGGCCAGGGTATCCTGGAAAATCTTACGTGTGGATCACCTTCTCAGGACAGTCTAGGACACTAAAGCAGTTTCTCATGTTCGGCCTCTATTATTAAAAAATGATACAATCTTGGGAAAATATTTTGATTTTCATGAAATTCATGTGTTTTTCTATAGGTAACACAAATTCTGATCGGTATGATATGCCTGTGTTTTGGAACAGTCGTCTGCTCTGTACTTGATATTTCACACATTGAGGGAGACATTTTTTCATCATTTAAAGCAGGTTATCCATTCTGGGGAGCCATATTTGTGAGTATATATCTATAATAGTTTCTGAAATAACACTGAACATAGGTCTCTCTCTTGCTAAGAACTAACCAGTTATTTCCAGTATTAAGATGATATTTATAATTCCTAACATAGATATGCTCATTAACAACAACAAAACATTCTTTTTATAATTAACGTTGGGTTAAACATTTAGCCCACAGTTTTATCCGATGAGAAACCTGAATCTAATTCAAGTTAAATGACTTGCCTAAGGGACACTTGGCTGATAGTAACTGAACCTAAACTTTCAGAATCCAACTCCAAGAACATACCTCTAGCACTATTCATCAATAAAGTTATATGATAACTACATATGGCTTTATCTGTCATCTAAAAATAATAACAGAGGCTGAGCACGGTGGCTCACGCCTACAATCCCAGCACTTTGGGAGGCTGAGGTGGGTGGATCACCTGAGGTTAGGAGTTCGAGACCAGCCTGGCCAACATGGTGAAACCTCGTCTCTACTAAATATAAAAAATTAGCTGAGTGTGATAGCGCATGACTGTAATCCCAGCTACTTGAGAGGCTGAGGCAGGAGACTTGTTTGAACCTGGGAGGCAGAGGTTGCAGTGAGCGGAGATTGAGCCATTGCACTCCAGCCTGGGCAATAAGAGCAAAAGTCTGTCTCAAAATAATAATAATAGAAAATAAAGTTTTCTTCATGAAAAATGAGGAAAGAGATTGCTGGGGTGAGAAAAATTAAAATCAATGGGCACATGGTGACCTTCCATGCCCTAGAAACTTTTAGGTATTTTTCTCGTGGTATCTCTTTTACTCATTGTTCTATGTGGAAAAACAGGTGAATGAGTGAGATAATAAGGTATCTAACTTTTTAAAGGTCTAATTGACGTATAATAAATTGCAAGTATTTCAGGTGTACAATTTGCTAACCTTTGACACACATAGACACACACGAAAACATCACCACATTAATACAATGTATGTATCCATCATTTCCGAAAGCTTCCCTGTATATCTTTGTAATTCTTTCTTCCTCCCTCCACTCCTTCTCCTCTCATCCCCAAGAAACCATTGATCTGCTTTCTGTGAATATAAATTAACCTGCATTTTTTATATAAGTATGTTCTCTTTACTGTTTGTCTTCCTTCGCTGCACAGTTATTTTGAGATTATTCATGTTTTTTCATTATATCGATACTTCATTCATGAGAATATATTTTAATTCTAAACTATATCACATTCACTTTGCATTCTGCTAAATCCTTAGTGCTCAGATGACTTGTTCAGGACTCTCCTTGAACCTCTACTTCTGTTATCATTGAAACTTGTCTCTACTGTCTTTTTATTTCAAACACAGCTTATTAGGTGTCTCTCAACCCATCAAACTCACAATCTGAGTCTTTAGGAGATTGCTTTGAATTTGTGCTCTTGACTTATATTTATATCAAATATGTAAACGTTTGGTAAAAATATCATCATGTACATTTTCATAATTACTCTATATTCACATGATATATGTCAAACTCTGGAAATATGCATGCCACAAACACATGTTTCTTGCCTAGAGGAGCTGATGGAAGATGAACATACAAATAGACAATTGCAATAGAATGAGAGTGGTGCTCTAACAGATTCATGCCCCTGATGTTGCTGGACGTTGCTGCTCCAAGAGTAACCCCTGCATTGTCAGGGTTAGCATCTCCTGGGAGTCTCATGTAAATGAAGAATTTCATGCCCCATCCAGGACCTAATGAATAAGAATCTGCATTTTAGCAAGACCCTCACATGATTCATATACACTTTTTTTTCTTTTAGACGGAGTCTCACTCTTTTCGCCCAGGCTGGAGTGCAGTGGCATGATCTTGGCTCACTGCAACCTCCACCTCCCGGGTTCAAGCAATTCTCCTGTCTCAGCCTCCCTAATAGCTGGGACTACAGGCACAGGCCACCATGCCTGGCTAATTTTTGTATTTTTAGTAGAGACGGGGTTTTGCCATATTCGTCAGGCTGGTCTCGAAATCCTGACCTCAGGTGATCCCCCCACCTCGGCCTCCCAAAGTGCTGGGATTACAGACATGAGCCACTACACCCAGGCTTATTCGTACACACATTTACTTTTGAGGAGCACTCTACAGAAACTAAGAATAAGGAAATACTGGGTTCACAGGTGACATTACTAAGTAACTTTATCAAGTACCCCAAATTGTACCTATGTTTGGAAGATGGGGTTAAAAAGGACACATTGAAAACAAGAAACTCATTGTGGCTCTTTTTTTCCTCCTTTTTGAACAGTTTTCTATTTCTGGAATTTTGTCAATTTTATCTGAAAGGAGAAATGCAACATATCTGGTGAGTTGCCTGTTTCTGTCTTTGTCCCTCTTTGAAAAGGTAAGAAGAATGGAGTTTGAGGAGTCTTAAGGGAAACACGTCTTTGTCTCCTGTATTACTAGTGGATGTGGATATATGACTTTGTTTCAATCTATTTTGTGTTCTGGGGCTTTTTGCAACAGAAGTTGGATATAATCAGTAGAAACATAAATTGCACCATTTAACATACAATGAAGTTTATGTTTACCTTGATGCTCGTTCTAAAAAAAAAGTGTCCCCACACTGGCATTGTCCTTGTAGGTATATTCACATGATCAAATAAATAGTTTTCAATTAAGAAGAAGAATTGAGGAAAGACCGTATGTGTCCATGTGGTTCCTGAATGCAGTCCAGCGAGAAAGAAATATATGCTCATTAAACAATGTGGCCATTTTCACGGCTTCCCTTTTTAACCAAAATTTGGAAGCAATGTGGAATTTACTGAATGCATCCAGCCCTGAAATGAAGATAGGTTTATTGAATGTGCCAGTAAGTGCAGGCCCAGGTCTGAGTGTTCCTTATTATCATCAGGCGAGAGGAAGCCTGGGAGCAAACACTGCCAGCAGCATAGCTGGGGCAACAGGAATTACCATCCTGATCATCAACCTGAAGAAGAGCTCGGCTTATATCCACATCCACAGTTGCCAGAAATATTTTGGGACCGAAAAGTGCTTTATGGCTTCCTTTTCCGCTGTATGTATTATTTTGTGTGGGAAGACTAAGATTCTGGGTCCTAATGTAAGTAAGAAGCCCTCTTTTCTTGTTCCATAAACACCATCCTTTTCTGTAACTTCCATTACATGGTATAGTGTTCTGTAAGTTCACACAGTCCAGGGAGATGCTGGCTGCCCGCTCCCCTCAACCCAGGCAAATTCCTTGGGGTTAAAGTTACCTACTACAAGTAACCATCTCTGGGTTTTCCTGTGTGTCTCTCTTTCTTTCTCTGTGTGTGTGTGTGTGTGCGTGTGTGTGTGTGTGTGTCACTTTAGAAGGACTGGTCAGATGATGGGGAGATGAAAGCAGGAGATGCTATAAGAAAATAAACTTTTGGGGCACCTACCATGTGACTCTTTGTTTATCGTTTGTTGCTGTTCAATAGGAAATGGTAGTGTTGATGCTGTTTCTCACCATTCTGGGACTTGGTAGTGCTCTGTCACTCACCATCTATGGAGCTGGGGAAGAACTCAAAGGAAATAAGGTAGGTAGAAGCCTGATATAAAATCCTGAATGACGGGTTAAAGAATTGGAGCTTTATTCCTTAAAAATACGGGCTGGGTTTTCTGAAACATTTCTTCCAGAAAATAGTTTCTCCAAGTTTTATTATTTTGGTTTCCAAATCTCACATTTTAAATCACATTTTATACTCATAAGTAGCACACATTTCATAGTATATCCCTCTGAATGAGGGTTGGGAAAATAGGATCTGTATAATGTTAGAAAATATGGATGCCTTAAAGTGTGTGTAGCATGAGAGACAAATGTGCAGGAGGCTTGTGAGGAAACCACCCAGGTATCTGGCCTTGTTTTCTGCCCCAGAAGTAGCCGCCTATTCCTGTTTCTGTTTTTTTTTTTTTTTTTTTTGAGACGGAGTCTCGCTCTATAGCCCAGGTTGGAGTGCAGTGGCCGAATCTCAGCTCACTGCAAGCTCCGCCTCCCCGGTTTAACGCCATTCTCCTGCCTCAGCCTCCTGAGTAGCTGGGACTACAGGCGCCCGCCACCGCGCCCGGCTAGTTTTTTGTATTTTTTTTTTTGTAGAGACGGGGTTTCACCATGTTAGCCAGGATGGTCTCCATCTCCTGACCTCGGGATCCGCCCATCTCGGCCTCCCAAAGTCCTGGGATTACAGGCTTGAGCCACCGTGCCCGGCCTCCTGTTTCTGTTTTATTCCTTTATTTCTTGACTTTTCCTTTCCAACTTGCTCTAAAACCTCAATATTCTTTCCTTTCTGATTCATGACTACCAACTGTTTCCACTTGCCTCACCAGTCCATTATACCTTTGATGAGAACCACTAGCACCTGGTGCTCACGTACTTGCCCAGGTCTGATGGATGAAACATACTCTCTCCACCTGTCCACTTTCCTGAGGCATTTAAGTCTAGCCACCTTTTAAAAATCACTCTCCTCCAGGCTGGGCACAGTGGCTCACGCCTATAATCCCAGCACTTTGTGAGGCCGAGGAGGGTGGATCATTTGAAGTCAGGAGTTCGAAACCAGCCTGGCCAAATGGCGAAACCAAATCTCTACTAAAAAATACAACAAAACAAAACAACAACAATGAAAACAAAAAAGGAAACATTAGCCCAGCGTGTTGGCAGGTTCCTGAGGTTTCAGCTCCCCAGGAGGCTGATGAAGGATAATCGCTTCAGCCCAAGAGGTGGAGGTTAAGTGAGCCGAGATCATGCCACTGCACCCCAGCCTGGGTGACAGAGCCAGACTTGGTCTTAAAAAAAAAAAAAAAGAAAAAAAGTAGCCAGGCCAGTGGCTCATGCCTATAATCCCAGCACTTGGGGAGGCTAAAGCTGGAGAATCATTTGAGGTCACGAACTGGAGACCAGCCTGGCCAACATGGTGAAACCCCGTTTCTACTAAAAATACAAAACTTAGCAGGGCATGGGGTTGCACGCCTATAATTTCAGCTACTCATGAGGCTGAAGCAGGAGAATTGCTTGAACCCGGGAGGCAGAAGTTGCAGTGAGCCGAGATCGTGGCCACCGCACTCCAGCCTGGGTGACATAGTGAGACTCCGTCTCAAAAGAAAAAAAAAAAAATCACTCTCTTCCAAAGATAGATAAATAAGACTGCAGATATACTAAGGAATAACCTCACCAACTTGTCATCGACTGACATGATTTCTTTTGGGCCCACTTAGCCAGCCAGTCTGGTTTGGTTTTCTGGAACTGAAAGAAATAATTAGAGAGTAATGACAGAGAGTGTGAGAGTCAGAAAGACAAAAGTAGATGAGATAAGTCTCTTGAGCAAGACTTCTAGGGATGGGAAATTTGTGGTGATTGATATGAAATGATTTTTCCCTTATCAGGTTCCAGATGATCGTGTTTATGAAGAATTAAACATATATTCAGCTATTTACAGTGAGTTGGAAGATCGAGGGGAAATGTCTCCTCCCACTGATTCATAAGAATCACATGTCCAGAACACTCTGATTCACAGCCAAGAATCCAGAAGGCCAAGGTCTTGTTAAGGGGCTACTGGAAAAATTTCTATTCTCTCCACAGCCTGCCAATTTTACATTAGATTTATTCGCCAGATGAGAATATTTTGTTTTTGTTGCTTCTGTTCCCCTTAATATTCTCCTTCCATTTGTAGATATGATAGACTCCTATTTTTCTTGTTTTATATTATGACTTCACACACCTCTCTGCTGGAAAGTCAACATGTAATAAGCAAGATTTAACTGTTTGATTATAACTGTGCAAATACAGAACACAAGAAGGCTGGCTGAAAGTTGAGTTAAACTTTGACAGTTTCATAATATTTGGTTCTTATGGTTTTTTTTTTTTTTTTTTTAGCATTCCTAATAGTTACAGTTGGGCATGGTTTGTACCACCCACCCATACCCACACAGTCACACACACATATATATAACTTACACTATATATAACTTTCTATGCAAATATTTTACCACCAGTCAATAATACATTCTTGCAATGTATTGCATGAAGTTTTATAAAAATCTGTATAATTGCCTAAATCACCAGCACATTCACTGGCATGGTATTATTAGATAATGTTTGCAGATTGATAAGTAGGAAGTGGGGAATTTTATTAAGTTACCCATTGTCTGGGGAGGTAGATAGGTAAAAACAGGGAAATTGTAAGTGGGGAGATCATTTAGTGAGACATTTGTGAAAAAAAGAAGAATAAATTAAGAGCTGAGCTGAAATAAAGTGAGTGGAAATGGAAATAATGGTTATATCTAAAACGTGTAGAAAAAGAGGAACTGGTAGACTTTGTTAACAAATTAAAGAATAAAGTTAGACAAGCAACTGGTTGACTAATACATTAAGTGTTTGAGTCTAAGATGAAAGGAGAACACTGGTTATGTTGAAAAAAATGATAAAAAGGACTAGGCACGGAGGCTCACGCCTGTAATTCCAGCACTTCGGGAGGCCAAGGCAGGCAGATCACGAGGTCAGGAGTTTGAGACCAGCCTGGCCGACATAGTGAAACCCCATCTCTACTAAAAATACAAAAAAAATTAGCTGGTAGGGTGGCGGGCATCTGTAGTCCCAGCCACTTGGGAGGCTGAGGCAGGAGAATTGCTTGAACCCAGGAGACAGAGGCTGCAGTGAGCCTAAATTGTGCCAGTGCACTCCAGCCTGGGTGACAATGGGAGACTCCATCTCAAAAAAAGAAAAAGATAAAGATAAAAAGTCAGAAATATGAAAAGTGGAGGAAGAGTACAACTAGACCTAAATTAAGCTCATTTTTAGACTTTCATTTTGGGGAGACAAAGGGAAATGCAGCCATCGAGGGCCTGATGACATTCAATACAGAATTCTGGTAAAGATAAAATTTGACAGAGGTTTAGTGTCATTATAGGAGAAATCATTATTAAATGAAGCAAGTTAACACTGTAAGAGAATTATTTTAAGATAGAGGTGAAGCTAAGTTAAACTTCACATGCCTATAAATGGAGGGAAAAACTAAGGATAAAAATCTAGAATAGAAGATACAATAGGCCGGGCGCAGTGGCTCACGCCTGTAATCCCAGCACTTTGGGAGGCGGAGGCGGGCGGATCACGAGGTCGGGAGATTGAGACCATCCTGGCTAACACAGTGAAACCCTGTCTCTACTAAATATACAAAAAAATTAGCCGTGTCTGGTGGCGGGCACCTGTAGTCTCAGCTACTCAGGAGGCTGAGGCGGGAGAATGGCGTGAACCCGGGAGGCGGATCTTGCAGTGAGCCGAGATCGCACCACTGCACTCCAGCCTGGGCGACAGAGCCAGACTCAGTCTCAAAAAAAAAAAAAAAAAAAAAAAAAAGAAGATACAATAATTAGTCATAAACATGCATTGTGAAACCGTAGAGAACAGGTAGCCCAAAATAGAGAAAGATTAGATAAAGAGACAATAAGTAACCGTCAGAGACAGTATCTGTAGGCCTGGGCAGGAGAAAAGTCCGCAGTGATAAGCAATCCACTTAAGGCATGAATATGGGGCAGAGAAAATAGCAATAGTGAATGAATGCAGAAGGTGCTGAGAAATTCCACACACGAGTATCGTGATGAGTAAATTAATAAAACATTTGCAAAGACCTTTAGAGACAGAGAATGGGGGCATATGTGAGAAATAAGATAGTTGATTATGAATAGAAGGTAGTGAAGAAAAGCAAGCGAAGAAAAAATTCTGTTTATAAAAGAAGGAAAAGATCGTTTGTGTTTTTAGCCTAAGAGTCCTGTAGAATGACTGAAAAAAATCAGTCTGAGAGTATTAGTCACAATTAATGAAATAATTAATTCCATTTTATGTATTGAGGATGCCAAGATTAAAAGGTGACAGACAGGTAGATGTTAATTTCACTAGATTATGTAAGTGATCATGACAATCACACAACAGATAATTAAGTGACTTGGTATGCTTTATTTAATTGTAGGGCCTGAGGTTTTCCATTCTCATTTTTCTAAAATAAAATTTTGTTTCTCCAACTTTGACAGCAGAATAAAAAACCCTACCGTTTCACTGTGTATCATGCTGAGCTGCCTCTCTACTCTCGATCATCTGTGGGTATTAATTACATCCCTTCCATGGCATGGACGTTCACATACAGACACTTAAACCTGGTTTACCAGAACCTCTAGGAGTGGATCCAATCTATCTTTACAGTTGTATAGTATTTCTCTTTCATTTCACCCAATTTATATTTTCATCATTGACTACATATTTCTTATACGCAACACACAATTTATGAATTTTTTCTCAAGATCTAACTGAGAGTTTTCCCACCCTGCCTGCCATTTATAGTATGCCCACCTCAGGCAGACACAGAGCACAATGCTGGGGTTCTCTTCACACTATCACTGCCCCAAATTGTCTTTCTAAATTTCAACTTCAAGGTCATCTTCTCCATGAAGACCACTGAACGCACACCTTTTCATCCAGCCTTAATTTCTCCCTCCATAACTACTCTATCCCACGATGCAGTATTGTATCATTAATTATTAGTGTGCTTGTGATCTCCTTATGTATTCTCAATTGCCTGTATTTGTGCAATAAATTGGAATAATGTAACTTGATTTCTTATCTGTTTGTGTTGGCATACAAGATTGAGGGACTTATCAAAGATAATGGGGAACTAAGGCATCAATAAAATGATGCCAAAGACTGAGAGTGGTTTCTGAAGTCCTCCTTTTCATCAGCCCTTTATCAAACAGAACACTCTATAAACAACCCATAGCCAGAAAACAGAATGTAGGAACAATCACCAACCATCTTTTGTCAATAATTGATGGAATAGAGTTGAAAGGAAACTGGAGCATGAGTCACATTTGACCAGTCAGTCCTCACTTTTACTTACTTGCTATGTAAACTTGAGAAAGTTTTTTCTCCTTGTGAACCTCAGGTTCTACATCTGAAAATGAGAAATTTGGAACAAAAGATTCCCAACTGGTCTTTCTGTTCCTATATTCTGTAATTTTTAAATATTTAGAATTTTTGGTAATCACAATTACCAAGTTTGTGGTTGAGATAGCAACAGCAATCAGAACTATTTGGTGGACATATTTTCAAAGGAGCAGCTCTCCACTTGGGGTAAAGAAGTATGTGGTGTAGCAAGACACCTGGAACAATAATATTTCTCTAAATCCCTCTGACAAATGCTAATCAAAGTGTGTTTTTTTCCTAAAAATTTTTCTTAGAAATAAAATTTCCCATATTATTCCCATTATAGGTAAATAATAGGTAATAATTCTTGCTATAGACATGGATCTACTTATATAAACAACTAATGAAACAGGGTACCATATTTTTAATTGTAACTTGATTTAGAGTGTTGGGGTAAATATATATATCCAAGAGGTGTGAGGGTCCCTTGTCAGTATCTCTCTGTGTTACATGAGTATTTCCCTCCACTGAAAAACCTCTGTTCACTCCACAAATAGTTAAGTGAGCTGAACTTATATCTCCAAATAGCTTCTATCTGGGAGTTCCAGCATTGTATTTTATCTTAGTTTTTTTTTTTTGTTTGTTTTTTAAATGAATATATTAAACATAACTACTTTAAATACATTTTGAATGTTCAAAAATCATTTAGCCCAGTTTCTAGAATGATGAATGGAACCTATTTTTAAATTTATAGACATTGATGTGTAATCCTGAACTTGAAATTAGGAAAAGAGACACTGTCAGCTTCTCAGGAACATTTGGCAATATTCACCTATCCCTTAACTCTGGTTGGAAAAAGTGGGCTTAAGACCCTGGGTAAGATCAGGGAATGTAATTATTAGTAACCTTCACATAGACTACTTCCAGATAAATTGAACTGTAAAATCATATATTACAAAATGATATTATCTTGTCCTAAAAAGGCAGAGAAGCAGATGGAAAGAGGCTCTAGGGAAAATGGTATCAGATGAGTTTTGGGAAACCTTTAAAAACATATCAACTTTCTTCATCAGTGAGAAATATCTTAACCCACCATATCTGCCTATCGGAAGGGAACTGGTTGAAAAACAGCACAAGAGGCTCAATCTGTAAAAAACAGAAAGAAAAGAGAGAGCCAAGATCAATTTTTGGCTCTCACAGTAAACAGTGCATAAAAGGTGCCCAGAGAAAACAGCTCATCTCCTCTCGTTATTTGGTGGCCCTATATAACATTTTTGGATTGGAATCTGCTTTGTGCTGCTGTAAGGCCTTGTCCTGGGGATAGATTTAGGCTAGGCAGAAGAAGGACTGGCGATTAGTCTATATGAGATTGTTAAGAGTGGTTTCCTACATGGTATGCTATTGTTCAATGATTTTTTTTTTTTTTTTTAGAGACAAGTGATCTAGGATAGACAATGGTGCTGCAATGTTTTGCCATTCATAAATAAATTGATATTCTATCTAACATGATTCTATGGATATGGCAATAGACCTGAATAAGGGCTGATGCCCTGTTAGATTCCAGACATTTTGCTAAGACACAGAACAGAAAATATGAATATACTATAAATGCTGTCCTTCAGAAGTTCATGTGCAAAAAGGGAGAGAGGAGAGAAAGATCCACTTAGGCAATAGAAGATGCTACTAGCACGTAAAGAAAGTTTTTCTGGCATGAGCAGTTATCATGAGAAATCAACAATTAAACTGGAAAATTTGAACTGGAATTCCAAATCCTACAGGAGAATAAGAAAGTGAATAAAGCCAGGCTGGTCGTGGTAGCTCATGCCTATAATCCCAGCACTTTGGGAGGCCGAGGTGGGCGGATCACAAGGTCAAGAGTTCAAGACCAGCCAGGCCAACATAGTGAAACCCCACCTCTACTAAAAATAC